GCCCCCTTCCCACGGGCTGTTCCCAGACAGTGACCGTGCACTGCAGGGACCCAGGCAGCCATTCCTGGGGTCAGGGCCTCCTCTGATGCTGACAGTGGCTCAAGGTCTGTCCTGTGGCCTCACTCAACTTCACTGAGATCGCCCAGTAGTGACCTAAGACACGTCTGACAAACCTCCTCTTCCTGACCATCGGGTTGGATCTGGGTCTGCTGGCTCGCCCAGCGAGTTCTGGCTCCCTCTCCATACGCTCTGACAGGTGTCCCGCTGGTACAACACTGCTGAGGGCAATCCCACCTTAGAATCTGCTGCTTGGGGGATTCAAACTAACAAAATATTTGCATCTCTCTGCCAGCGATCTCTTACTCCATCGGGTAAAATCCTTCTCTTTCCCCAACTTCTCCACCAGCATCGGCTCCCTTGTGCTGGCCTTCGTATTATCTTTCTGAGGTAACAGACGCTTATGTTTCAAGCCACTAAAGTTCGGGTAAGTTCCTTGCTCTGCTGTGAATAAGTCACAAGGCTCTCTTTAGTTTCTTTTAGTCTGCATCGCTGATTCCTTGCACTTGGAAAATGTCACCTGCACTCACTATTTCCAGTTCCTCTCCTCCTGTTCTCTTTCATTCTGTTTTTTCTCCATTCCTCCTTCTTTTTTTTCCTTCTCTCCTTCCTTTATGCTTATTATCAGATCTCAACCATATAAAATAATACTCTGAGGTTAAGCTAAAGGAAGCATTACATGAGTGTATAAGTTAAAAGTATAAACACAAGGGATATGGAATAAAAGGAAAGGAAAGGAAATAATTAATAGTCTGAAAAGAAAATGCCCAGGTGATTCTGCAACCAAGGACCTGACTTTCAACTTAATGCTTCTATTTAAGCTGAGGTTGGTTTATTTTCAGAACAACTACATCAGCAACATGAAGTCTTCCACATTCCTGGTAAAAGTTTAAATAGGCACACGCACTTTTAAATCACATGAGCATCATCGAGTCTGGCTAAAGTACAGACCCCACAGGGCCCAGCATTCCCACCCCTGACCACCCCCTCTGGAGAATTTCTTGCCTTGTGCCCCAGGATACATGTTTGCAGCAAAAAATGGAATAACCAGATACATCAATAGGAAAATAGCAAAATTTCAGTACAAACATAAAATTTAAGACTTCAGCACTAAAAATAGAAGAAGGACAGTCACAGATGAGAGATGACCCTTATTAATGCTGAGCTTCAGAAGACTCCATGCAGTACAGAAAATTTAAAGCTGGAAAAACTAAATAACATTTATTATGGATATATATATATATACACTTATTATAAAATCTTCAGAGTCTCTCAAGAGTGTAAGAAATGCAAGACTCAGAACAGAGATTCCAACTGGGGGACCGGACTGTGAGTGTCAATGCCAACAGGAATCCCTCAGTGAGGTGGCTGAAGGACACTGTATTCACTACAAACAGTTGGATGCTGACAATCTCTATATATAAAAGTGTAATATGCTAATTAGACCAGACATCCTTCCTGATGAAACCATGACCAGAGGGAAGCCAGCCCAGGTCCCGGGTGCGTGACAGAAGCTAGGGCCGGCAGCGGGGGAAGGAAGGCCTACTCTTGCATGAATTTTCGTGCATTGGGCATCTAGTCTCTATATAAACTTAGACAAAGGTCCTGAGCTCAGATGAGGACACAGCTTTGTGACCCTGACCAGAGACCCCCATCCACACCACGCCTGCATTTCCCATTAAGGTAATGTCAGCAAGCAAATGAGGGTTATTCTGAGCCACTAAGTTGTGGTGATTTTTGTTTTTACAGTAATAGAAAACTAATACACAGGCTCAGCTGTGCCATAGATAAGCACAGAGCATTTATTTCCACTGAAATAAATTTATGAGCTGACACATACAGTAGTTACATGTAATAAAATCTTTCCTAACTTTTTGGGTTTTTTATTTAAAGATTTTATGTAATACAATTAAAATTTTAATACAACTGGTATTGCCCTAGCCGGTTTGGCTCAGTGGGTAGAGTGTCAGCCTGTGGACTGAAGAGCCCTGGGTACGATTCCCATAAAGAGGCAGTTCCTTGGTTGTAGGCTCCAACCCCACTTGGGCCCTGGTCAGGGCCCTTGTAGACACAACTAATTTATGTTTTTCTCTCACATTGATATTTTTCTCTTTCACTCTTTCTAAAAATCAATAGGAAAATATCCTCAGATGAGGATAAAAAAAATATACAATTGTCATTCATCCATTCATTCATTCAACAACAATTAACTTACTGTCTACTATGTACCAGAAGCAGCTTCGTGTGATGGGAGACAACTTTGACCCAAAGCCCCTGTGCTCCCATGTCTTACAGCTAGAGGCTTCCCAGAGTGAGATGCAGCCACTGGAGCATTTTCAGAGATGAAACTGGACAACCTGACTCACATTAGCAGGATTGCTGATCATGTGGGGAGAATAGACCCCGGGTGGCAGGTGAGGGGGTGACACTAATGCCACAGTCAGGAGTGGGAGGGTGATAGAGACAAAGGGGTGAAGAGGCCTGAGGGGTGAGAGACAGAGAAGCGCTGAACAAGCAGGGGTGAGGAAAAGAAGTGGAGGTAGAGATTCTAAAGCAGTGGAACTCTCAGATTTAAATGTGGTTTATAGATCTATAACAACTATATCTACAGAGCTAGCAGGGTGTTCTTTGCATTTGGTACTAAATACATTCTGTGGGGCTGCCTAAAAACTAATTTCCACCTTATGTTAATCGGTTAAAAAGTAATGTGTCCCAACTATCTGGAATGATATTTATCTTCCAAGTACGTGGGTAACCTTTCTAACTGGAGTTTAAGCTATTTGAAGGCACAAGCTGTGTGTCATAGACCCTTTTGTCTCCTTGTTTTGAGCACTCTGTCCTGCAGTTAAAGGGCTGGCTCAATAGAAGTGTTTTGGCTGTGGTGGTGATAGTGGTGGTGATGGTGATGGTAAGAGTAATTGTGGTTGGTACTAAGAAGCAAAAAGGTTAGAGACAATTTGTTTCCTCAATATCAACAAAAGGAATTTTTTTGAGAAACATGTAATACTAGGGGCCCAGTGCAC